GTCTTGTCGCATTACCACATGGTCAACTGTTTGGCCTTCAGGAAAAGTTGTAATGTCTTGGTACGTAACCGAGTCTTAACTTGTAGTTTAAATTGACCACTGTACGATTATAATTACTTTAATTCCTTTGTTTAAACCCACATTATTTAAATGAATAATACTATGGACAGAAGAAGGGAAACTAAAAATTACGAATAATTAGTATGATGAATTTCATGGTATTTAAAGGTTTTCGCGCAAATGTTTCGTCCACAGGAAAACTTCCTAATATTTCCCCGTAGAATCCCATCGGGCTTCAGAGTTTACATGTTTATCAAATTCAGCATCAAATGCATCTGCCATCATCCTGATAGTAGACATCGGACTTTGCGTATGTTGTTCGATGTGCTTGATTAATTTCCTAACCCAGATGACGTGACAGGACGGTCCAACATTTTAGAGGGTGGTAAGACCCGACTTTCTGTTTCTTTTAACAACCCAAAATCACTATATATTACTGGCCCTAACTCCAACCCACTCACGTCCCACAAGGGCACGCAGCCTAGGTCCCATGACTGCATGCAGCCTATCTACCACTCCCTGAAATATTCGACTGTCCCCTGACCCGTGGATTCCCCCTGTTTGGAGTAGGATATTAACAAAGCACCTTCTTTGACTTTGGAGATTATCATTAAAGCTAGCATTTTGCTTTCTGCTAAGCAAATTTAAAAGTTCGCCATTGCTCACTGCACGGAAGACTCTCGACACCACTATCGAAAGTAGCGCAAGGCGGTCTGCTGTCAAATCAAACCCAGCACATCGGCATTAAGAAGCAAAGCGCAAGCCACAGACGCCATCTAGTTTATTATTACGAACAGAACTTGGAGGTCCCTGTCTGTAGGGGTGTTTATTTAGTACAAAACAATAATTCCAAAATGATCAGCTAATGATTAACTTTTGAGAAACTAATAATTAAGATTTTCAATTATTAAAATTACGTTTTAATTATTTAAAAGTATTATCTGAAATTGAGATTTGTGACCCATCATGCAAGAGAAGTGTGAACTGTTGGCACTAGGTTATTGCTGTTGGCATTTCGCTGACAAGTGGCGATTCTTTCAGCCCTTTTGCTTTTTTTTTTTTCTTTATTGGGTGGGGAAAAGGGGGGTGGGGTGGGGGGTCATTATGTGCATAGTTTATGCAGTAGTCATATTAGAATATAAGAGACATGTGCAGGCTAATCCGATCAGCGAAGGCCTTACAGAAGTCGAATGTGACGACCAGCAGGCACATATATCACACCTCTGCTTTACGCTTACATAACATAGTTACTTACACACACACACACACACACACACACACACACACACCCGCACACACACACACACATACATACAAACATATATTCTTACATATGTATGTACATACTCTATAGTTTTGAATCACATCAGCTTGTCTCAGAAAACTTAAATTTACAATCTTTTAAATATATGGATCATCATCATCATCATCATGTAGCAGGACCTTTGCAGAACATCGCTCTCTGCCCCTCCTTCCTGGTACCATGCCTTCTGCTATTATTTTTTCCAATCCGTCGGGACCCTTGATATGACCGAAATATTTCAGCTTCTGAGAAAGGATGCTGTTTATTCGCCAATCTTCCTTGATGTTCAGACCTTTCAAGATGTCAGTATTTCTCCATAGCATTTCAGCTCAAAAGCCCCTATTCATTTTCTTAAGCACTGAGAGATAGTGCACGACTCACATCTGTATGTTGCTGCAGGGAAGATGCATGCTCTTAAAATTCTAATTTTGATCTCCTGGTTGGTGCTTAACCATAGACTGTTTAAGCTGTTTAATCAAATATATAGGTAATGGAAATATGTTGTCGATTATTTTTTTTAAACTTATAACAAAGAATGTGTTTGCATAATCACAGAATTGATGTTATATTATCTTCTTTACAAAACGTGAACTTTATTAAGAGAAAATTGCATTTGTGGGAGAAAAAAAAATGTTTGAAGCCCTTTGCTATCGGCTTATTTTATTTGGCTGATACCTAAATCGGTACTTATTGATACGATATCTGACTATAATTAAAGTAAATTTCTTGGCACACATGGAGGAATCGGGTTGGAATCTTTATGTACAGTTTTCAATTAATCTGTTTGAGTCAGATACAGAGCGGACAGACACAGGGGGCAAATACATGTTGGTGAAGTCATTCTTGCAGTGTAAACATACCGTCCTTTTTATGTTTTATTGACTTGAAGATTTCTCCCGTACGTTGAAGGATTAGCCGGATAGTGAAATGTTGCCTGGAGGCTTGAGTAATGGGGGGGGGGGGGGGGGGGGGGTACTGATGAACGTGTAGAACACAATGTAAGATACGTCATTAAGTAAAGTAAATAACCTTTTTCCATGCCTTTCAGGCTTAGTGGGTATATAGGGCTAGACCTGTATTTTATAGACCAACGGCACAAGATGGGTAATGTGGTCAGCACCATGCCGGCCGTCTTTCACTTCCCAGGATTGCACCCGGTACCCACTCAATGTTGGTTCGACCTGAGAGCCAAGGTCATGTTTGAAAAGAAAAGTCTGGCTCCGCCAGGGAGAGAACCCGCGACCTTTCTATCCGCAGGCGAGAAACGTCAATAGAGGTTCATTTTTAGGACAGTGGCCTACTCGGCATATAATATGATGCTAGACTGATATTTTCATAGTTGAGAACTCCATGGGTGATGTGGTCAGCATGCCGCCGGCCACCTTTACTTCCCATTACATTACCTGGTGCCCATTTTAGGCTGCGAGTCAATGTCGGTTTTGAAAAACATATTCGTCTGCACGCGAATTGAACCCTAGACCTACGGACCGGTATTTAAAAACTACGCGCTATACCTCCGGGCTGCCATTGTTCACTTGTGGTTGCCTTGGATGTTCGCTGCTTGTGAAGAGAGGATTTCCTAACTATAAAGCTTTTGTTCTTCCGTTAACACCTTTGTGTATTTCCAGACACTATGTTTACTTTGTTCTGTAGGGAGGCATAGAGATAACTGGCAATGGCAATATTTTTTTTTTTTCGAGTTCAGTCTCTGAATTATGACACTTTTTTTTAGTTCATCATCATCATCGTGTTGCGGATATTTTAGAAAAACGTCGCTCCTATTACTGCACGCCTGACAGAAAGGAGGTCTTTGGGTAGCTCGCCCGCCTCATGCACTTTCCTACCCTGGGTGTCCCTTATTTTCTGTGTCCATCTTCATCCTGGTCGGCCCTTGCCTCCTAACCAAAATGTCCCTTATTTCCTGTGCCCATCTTCATCCTGGTCGCCCCCTGCCTCCTAACCAAAGTGTCCCTTATTTTCTGTGCCCATCTTCATCCTGGTCGCTCCCTGCCTCCTAACCAAAGTGTCCCTTATTTTCTGTGCCCATCTTCATCCTGGTCGCCCCCTGCCTCCTAACCAAAGTGTCCCTTATTTTCTGTGCCCATCTTCATCCTGGAAGGCCCCTGCCTCCTAACCAAAGTGTCCCTCATTTCCTGTGCCCACTTTCGCCCTGTCGGCCCCTGCCTCCTCACCAGTGTCCCTTTTTTTCCTGTGCCCACTTTCGTCCTGGTCGCTCCCTGCCTCTCTTATCAGGTTCCGTGCCCTAAAATACTGTTGTTTTCCTCCCAATCAGTTGCGATGTTTGATATAATTAAAGTACCCTTTCGACGCCTCTAGACATATTGGGCATATAGGGTTAGACCTATATTTTATAGACCAAGTGGTACTCGCTAGGTGATGTACATTACATCATTTAGTTGTGTCTCTTGTGTGAATTGCTATGGCCATCTTTCTTGTAACTTTTGTTGAACAGGTAGATAGGTAGGTAAGTTGTACCGAACCAGGACATCACAAAAGCGATAAGCGCACGGTGACACAAAGTGCCACCATGTGGATGAGGATCCCCCGTGGAGAGGTACCGGAAACTCCGTTCGACCGTTAGGCCATATTTATGGCCAGGCTTTATGTAGCGCCCCCGGTAAAAGCCAGTTTGGGGCTTCAAAATAACTAAAAATTGCGTCCCACACGGGGAGAACTCATAACTGTTGAACAGTCTCCTTTCTGTATGTTATAAAACCCAGATTCTCAAAGTTTATGTCCAGTTTCTTCATCCTTGATTACTATCCACACCCGAAACCTTCGAGTCGATAGGCAAGCCTTTATCAACGTTGCTGCGACAGCACTAGAACACTCTTAGGAGAAATAATTTACACCGCAAATTGTATATGAATGTACGATCCTCAACCGCTGCCAATTTTACATTTCCTGGGTAATGCGGCGGTTGTTTCCCTTGCTGTAGCATCGGGGCTGCGTGGTTTTGAGGCAAAGCGTCCGCCTCGAGTGCTGGAGGTCCCGGGTTTAAGCCACGGTGAAGATTAGGATTTTTTTTTTCACATGGACTTCTAGTAATTTCCCCTGTTCTCTGGGCAGTAAGATCGGACGTCTCTGTATATTGCTGCGCGCGTAAATCCTTTGGCAGATGGAAATCGAAAAGAGTAGCCTAAAGGCGCTGCTCGGGCAAAATTTGCAGTTTAAAATCTACCTAAGGTATTTCAGCATCCTCGCAGGTGCTACGGAGTTCGTACACTGCGTTGAGAATCTTGGGACTCAGGCTTGAGTCAGAAGAAGAACGGATCACTTATGTGTTACTACCCTGATGTTACTACCCTGATGTTACTACCCTGATGTTACTACCCTGATGTCTAAACCTAAACCAAACCTAAACTGTAGCCTTGTTTATAAATTGTAAATGCTCGTCAGGCGGGTGGCGGCCTGGCTTAGGCTTTGCGTGTCCGACTCGTAATTCCAACGTACCGCAGGTCGACCCAGCCTAAAATGGGTACCAGGACGGCTGTCCTGTGAAAGTAAAGTCGGCCGGCGTAATGCTGACCCCATTACCCACGTAGTGCCGATGGTCTATAGAAAGATGTGCGCTCTTCCCATATACCCGCTACGCTTAAAGACGTGAAATGGATCTTTACTTACTTTTATAAGTGGGTGTAGGGGCAGTAGTTGTAGGGGCAATTGGTGTAGGTGCGGTGGGTGTAGGGGCAGTGGGTGTTGGGACAGTGGGTGTAGGGGCAGTGGGTGTTGGGGCAGTGGGTGTAGGGGGAGTAGTTGTAGGGGCAGTATTTGTAGGGGCAGTGGGTGTATGGGCAGTGGATATCGGGGCAGTGGGTGTAGGGGCAGTGGGTGTAGGGGCAGTGGGTGTAGGGGCAGTGGGTGTAGGGGCAGTGGGTGTATGGGCAGTGGATATCGGGGCAGTGGGTGTAGTGGGTGTAGGGGCAGTGGGTGTAGGGGCAGTGGGTGTAGGGGCAGTGGGTGTAGGGGCAGTGGGTGTATAGGCAGTGGGTGAAGGGGCAGTGGGTGTAGGGGCAGTGGGTGTAGGGGCAGTCGGTGAAGGGGCAGTGGGTGTAGGGGCAGTGGGTGTAGGGGCAGTGGGTGTAGGGGCAGTGGGTGTAGGGGCCGTGGGGGCAGTGAGTGTAGGGGCAGTGGGTGTAGCAGCCGTGAGTGTAGGGGCCGTGGGTGTAGGGGCCGTGGGTGTAGGGGCAGTGGGTTTATGGGCAGTGGGTGTATGGGCAGTGGGTGTATGGGCAGTGGGTGTAGGAGCAGTGGGTGTAGGAGCAGTGGGTGTAGGAGCAGTGGGTGTAGGAGCAGTGGGTGTAGGGGCAGGGGGTGTATGGGCAGTGGGTGTAAGGGCAGTGGGTGTAAGGGCAGTGGGTGTGTGGGCAGTGGGTGTATGGGCGGTGGGTGTATGGGCAGTGGGTGTATGGGCAATGTGTGTATGGGCAATGTGTGTAAGGGCAGTGGGTGCAAGGGCAGTGGGTGTAAGAGAAGTGGGTGTATGGACAGTGGGTGGATCCCTGTTACATGTTTTTCGTAACGACATGCTAGTAGATCGGTCCGACCCATTTGTGCGATCTAGCAACCATCCCAGTGTCTCAATGCTCAAAGTGCCCGGTAGGAGTTGACTGGCAAATCTGTTTTGGTTGAGGGTGGGGGAGGGCTGCGTGGTCTCGAAGCATGGTGTCTGCCTCGAGTACTAGAGGTTCCTTGTTAAATCCTTTGTAAGGGCTGGGATTTTTTTACATGGACTTTGACTTTTAGTAATCCCCCCTGGTCTCTGGGTAGTTTCGTACGTAAAAAATCCCTTGGCAGTTGGAAATCGAAAAGAGTAGCCTTAGGGCGCTGCCCGGGCAAAATTTGGAGTTTAAAATCTAAAGTATTTCAGGACCCTCGCCGGTGATACAGAGCCTGTGCACTGTGCTGAGCTTCTTCGGACTCAGACTTGAGTTAGAAGAAGAGCGGAGCACGCAGTTGTGCTATGATGTTGATCCGTTGTTCAAAACCTCAGTCCTCTTTGTTCACCTAGCAACCGGTGTCTATATGTTTGTCCTCGTTTAATATAAATTCTCAGCAGGCAGTTCATTGTCTCAGACTTCTCGTTTCTAGAGTGCAGAACATTCAGTATGTCTGCCCTGTCCATACTTCTTTCTCCACCGATTACTGTAGTGAGCCCACACCCTCCCCGTCCCTCCGCCACCCACAATGGAGCACAGGAATCTAGACGAGATTGTTTAGAATGGTCACAGGCCGACAACAAATGTCGAAGGAGGTTTGTTCTACAAATGACCTGTAGACTCCGGCTCTGTATGCTCCTCCTTGAAGTTTTCTTATCTTTCTCTTTCTTGTCAGATATTCCTTTTCCGTTCGTCTGGATTTGTACTGCTAGTTAGCAACCGCTTTGTCTTGACTTCGATAGTGGTATGGAGAGCCGACCGTTCATGAGCAGTGACAAACTACTTGACGTGAAATTGCCTAATGAAGCCAAGCCACAGCCAAAAATGCTTCGGCTGGTAATGCATCGTCCTGAAAAGTATCTGCGGCTAATATATGTTTTTATTTTTACTTTATAAAGTATCCTGAAGGATTTAAAAAAAAACCAACTCTTTTGTTCCGTTAATATAAAGTTCAAAGCAAGTGTCTTTCTTTTTAAATATCAAGCACTGTATTACCAACTTCCGCTGACCTGTTTGAATTACAAAGAACGTATATAGTGGTTTTGGCTCTCAGTAAGCTATCTTTGCTAATTACCGCGGTCTATTTATAAAACTCCACTTTCACGACCTCATTATGAAGTGGCCTCGGTCAAGAGTTTCAGGCTGCATCGTTTGAGAAGCATGATGTGGTGTTTCTGTGCAAGTGGGCGCACGAGTAGAAAAGGCAGTAGGTACGAGGGCGAAGAGGTGCTGGCTGAGTCATGTCATCGTGACAAGATTGACGAATTCAATTCTTCTCTCTCAGCCAGTTGTACTTATCCACTCGGCCATTGTGAGAACCGCTGTGGTGTAGTGGCTAGACGCTTGCCTGCCGCTCCGAAAGTCGTGGGTTCAAATAAAGAACACTACTAGATTTTTTTTTTTTTTTGAAATGACCGTGGCTGTCAGGTCGACTCGACCTTCAATGGGTACCAGATAAAAGTCATGGGAAGTAAACACGACCCGTGTGATACTGACCACATCACCCAGCAAGTGCCGATTGGTTTATAAAATTTAGGTCTAGCCCTACATGCCCACTACGCCTAAAGGCGTGGAAAAGGATCATATACTTTTACTCTGCCATTGTTACAGCTTAACTGTCCTGTTCATTTTTCCGAAGTGGACGAACAACCAGAACTGTCCGCCGTTGTCACATTTGTTTAACGGTAAGAAGAAGTAGAATATGTAGGCCTATCGAGAGTTTTAAACATCAGAGAATGAGAGTGAGACGCGGTAACTAATTCAGCATCTCTGTCAGTCACCATCATGGGAGCTAACAGACTGCTGTGACCGAATGGCATACAATAGAGATTATGACATTGCCACTGTCTGATATCTAGTCATCTCCTTGTGAGATGCAATTTTTCATGGTTGTTTTAAGCCCTACCCTGGCTCTTCCCAGGGGCCGCAATATAACCCGGCCATAAATATGGTCTAATTGGCTGAACACTGTTTCAGGGACCCCTCCACGGGTGATTCTCATCCACATTGTGGCACTTTGTGTCATCGGGTGTTTATCGCTTGTGTGGTGTCCTGGTGGGATATAAGAATATTGATAGATAGATTGCGGCTGTCCTCGTAAAACAGGCAGTTGCTTTTGATTGTTGTTCAATGTGTACTTCAGTTGTTGGGGATTTACATATTTGCATCATTTATGTACTTGTTACTGCAATATGCACCTGACGCGATACAGCGAAATGTGCCAGGAAATTCGTTTTTTTTTTCTTTTTGGGTATCCAGAAACCTTAAGTTGTAAACTCTTTGGCTCGGTACTATGGATATCGCAACCTTTTGGCTTTGATTCCATGATAGATACCGTAAATCTGGGAAATGTGTGGCTTTTCTGCCTACCCCCGAGCATGAACTTGGACCACAAGGAGTTTGTCACCCGGTCGCCGCGCAGCTGGTTTAACCAACTTGGCTAGCGCGCCGGGCATTCAGTAAATTGTTCGGTCTGTTATTCGTGTCTTCTTTGTTCAAGGATAATAAAGAGACACAAACTACATACACGAACAAGTCGAATAGGGGCAGACCACGAGACAGACCAAGAAGAATGTGGAGTGGAAACATCCCAGCCGACCTACAAACACTTGGAACCACCAACTAGAAAGAGAAGACCAATAATAAAGATGATTGCAGGCGGATAATATCTGCAGTAATAAACCTCATGAGCCGAGAGCGACGAAGAGAAGACGAAACAGAAGAACTCAATAAAGTGGAAGCTAAAAAGTCTCTGGTTTTGTGTAATGTTTTTTTTTTAATTTTTTTTTTTGGTTGGCTGTGATACTTTTTTTTTGTTCTCATGATGCGCCCCAGTAACGTCGGGGTTATCTGAAAGAAAGGGCACACTGGCTTATCTCGAGGTTTTATTACCGCTTTTTCTCAATGAAACATAAAAATAGACATAAATATAATACGTAGTGACATAAAAAAATGTATGTCAAATAAAGCAAGACAGAGGATACGTTTAAATGTCTATGAATCATTTACTGTCCTAAATAGTTTGATAGACCTCCCAAGCTAACACAGTTTACTATCAATTAAATGTGGGCAGTCGGAAATAGTAGGGGATTGCTAGGTGTGGGCAAAGTATGGTGTGGCCTCGTGCCACGGGACCGCTACGGTAGCCATGAAGGCCACCCTGGGTCACCCCGAAACGTCCTGGCCAACGGGGCTCTGGTGAAGTTGCGACAGGCCTAGCAAGCCGGCAATGGATTTATTATCGCTACAGAAATCAAAATGAGATATAAACGGACTGATCAAACGGTATCTGACCATGGCAATGTTAAGGGAACATACAAAGACAGCAAGTGAAATGGTTTGCCCACTTAGAGAGAATGCCTTGTGACACCATACCATACAAAGCATACATGGAAAGAGAAGAAGGACGTAGAGCACGGGGTAGACCAAGAACAAGATGGAAGGATAACATCAGAGAAACTCTACAACAGCACGATGTGCCTATGGTCGAGGCAGCCAGAAGAGCTAGAAACAGAACCTTATATCTCCCTTGACACCCACAGCGGTAAAAGAGGAAGTGAAGAAGAAAAAGAGAAGCAGTCGGAAAACAAATTGTAAAGAATGCTACAAGGGAAAAAAAACTTGAATGCGTTGTGACAATTAACACCCTTTTTTAAGGGATTCGGTAACTAGTCACACACCAACTGGTAGCATACTAGCTTTATTTTATGTTGTCCAAGTGTCTTTTTATCTCTCTACTTCATTCTAAAAGTGCTGACCAGTTCTTGTATGTTTGTTTTTTACGTTAAGTAATCTGTGTGCTCCTGTACCATGGTGTCCCTTTCTGAATTTGCGGACAGTATTTTCCAAGCCATTGTCACTAGCTTTCCTTCATTTGTCAAACACACCAACCTTGCCCTCAGCATTTTGGATCCATCAGGCTACGCCCGGGCAAAACCTATCATCTTTTTCTGTTAGACGTATACTCCTTCTTTGCATCTCTCCCTCACTCTGGCGGTCTGAAGGCACACTTGTTCTTTTTTGGACAAGAGGTTCAACTCTCTTATCTTCACTATAGTTCTTGTACACTTTGTCCAACTTGTACTGACCCTTAGCTCCTTTGAGTTAAAGGTGAGTACTTGGACCAGATCCGTAGGGCACCAAGATATGTCCCACTTACGCATGCCTCTTTATGGGCAACCTTCAAAACGAGGTTGGTTTGGCATACCATAGCAGATTTCATCTAGAGTTTACTTGGTCCTGTGTGTGTGCATGTATATATTTAAGTTGGGGAAGTGGGGGGGGGGGGGTGGGAATCACTCGGCGAGATATTTCCTTCCAATGTACAAGGATATTCTAGCTTAATTAACTATTTCTAACTATTTCAGTTGTTTTTTTGTTTTTTTAATGTGAATATCCAGCGCCGGCTTCCTTTCCTCGGCTCTTGGTGTCTTAAAATTGATGTAGTTCTTCCCCAAATGCTCTACACTTGCAATTATTTTTGAACTCACTCCATTCTGCTCAGGCACCAGTGAATGAATGTTTATAGTTGATTGGGAATTCTTCAAGTTGTTCCCTGTGTTTTGTGTTTCTCGGGCATACAGGGCAGCAGTAATGATTGGACATCAGAGTTTAATGATGTTGTGATCAGCTTTTATTTATAATTTCCTTCATATTCAACATACTTCATCCTCATCATCGCCCACCTTCCTTTCCCGCATCCTTTTTTCTTCTTCATTTTCCTTCTTCTCCTCACCCCCATCTTTACAGTTTTCTCAACAAAGTGTTTGGAGCGGTAACGTGGGTTAGGAGAGAAGTTTCACTGCGCTGTGTAAGTCTTCATTTCTCTATGGTTATTCTTGATGTCTTATTTCCATCTTGTGTGTTCCTT